GCACACACGGCACACACGCGGCACATGCAGCAACACACAACACACGTGACACACATGACAGCGTGTGCACAACACAAAAGCACCGCACATGACACATGCAACACACATGCACACACAAGGCAAACATGTGACACATGTGATACATACAACACACATGTGACGCATGACACTGCACACACACACACACCACATGACACGTGTGACATACAGGACACACATGGCACACATGATACACGGAGCACACACAAGGCAGACATGCACCATACAACACATGTGGAACACACAGCACACACGCAAGACATGTGCAACACACATGTGACACACATGACACACATGGCATGTGACAGATGGCACAGACAAGTCACACATGCACCACACACAACACACGTGGTACACACGCAGCACACGTGGCACACACGCAACACATGCTATACGTGTGGTACACACATGTGACATGACACATGACATATGCAACACACATGACACAAAAGTCACACGTGACCACACACATGTGGCACACATGCTACACAGCACACAGAAGGCACATACACAAGACATGTGCAATACATGTGGCACACACATAACACATGTGACACGGCATATGTGACACATGATACATGGCACACACAAATCACACATGCACCACATACAACACACATGACACATGACACACGACACACATGGCATATGCAACACAGCACACACAAGTCACACATGTACCACACACGTGGCACACATGTGGCACATGCAACACTTGTGGCACACAACACATGTGACACACATGACACAAGGCACACACAAAAACACGCACCACACGACATGCTACGCACAGCACACACAAGGTACATACGCAAGACACGCAACACACATGGCACACACGCAAAACATGACACACAAGGCACGTGGCACACACAACACACACATCACACATGACACACGACACATGGCATATGGCACACAAGACACACAACACACGTGGCACATGCAACACACGTGTGACACATACACATGGCACACACAAAACATGCATCACATGTGACACATGGCACACACAAAGCACACATGCACCACCCACAATGCACTAGGCACACGCGGCATACACACAACACACAGCACACACACAACATGCACCACCCACACATGCGACACACGACACACTGCACACACAAGGCACACACAACACATGTAGCACACATGCAGCAAACAGACAATACACATGCAACACAAAACACACAGGTAACACATGGCACATGCAAGACACCTGACATGCGGAACACACATGGCACACGCAACACGTGCAACACATGTGGCACACACAACACGTGCAACACGCAGAACACACATACCACATACATAAGACATGTGACACGTGGCTCACATGAAACATACAGGCAGCATATGCAGACCACACAGGGCACACACGTGGCACACACATCACACACGTGACACACACACGCAGCACACATGGCACACACGGCACACATGCTCCTGCTGCTCCCAGCAGATGCCAGGCACTTGCTCACACACCTCCTGCCACAGGAAAGAGCAAGGGAGGTGGGAGGGTCGGGGGCCATAAGTGACCTCAGAGCACCCTAGATGCTGGGAGAACAGGCACCCATGGGCCGGCACGTGTGCACCCTGCCTGGGCATGAGTGCAGCTGTGGGGTGTGCACATGGCTTACGCGTGCGGCCCAGAAACCTCCCTGTGACCTGGATGCCTCGGTCAGCATCTGCAGCATGAGGGGCACTCCCGAGGGGCCTTGGGCAACTCTCGGCCTACGGCTGTTTGCAGAGCCCCCTTTTCTCCCCGTGGGCCCGGAGGAGTAGCAGGATTTGTGACTGTGCTCTCTCGCTGCGTTTGCCCCAGTGGGTTCTCGTGGGCTGGGCCCTGTTGAACTGAAGGGCAGGCGCTGGGCCCTGCTGACAATGACGGTGGCGGCACTTGGCCACACTCAGCCTCTGGGGCCTCGGGGGTGTGTGGGTCACCGTCCTCCCCTTACAGGCAAGGAGATAGGATGGCTGGGTGCACCCTTGTGATGGGGAGCCAGGAGAGAGGGGCTCACACAGGGCGTCTGCCCGCATCTGCTGAACGAGCCTGGGGCCACACACAGCCTCTCAGGGTCAGAGCTTGCGGGGGCCCCGCGGGGGTATGAGACAGAGAAGGTGCGTGTGCGTGCATGCATGTGAGGCTCGGCACGCCTGGCTGTGCACATGTGACTGTGTCAGGCGGGAATCTGTCCAGTGGAACTTCTGTGGCACACTTGAGCTGTGTGTAGCCCCCGCTTCTGATTATGGAAAGACCTCACACTCTCGTCCCAGACCTGAAAGCTGTGACCGGGTTGGTGGCTCCTCCCAGGGCTAAGCCCCACCTCACACTCCTCGGTCGGACCCTGGCCTCCCTCCCCAGGCCCCTCCACCCCCCGCAGGGACCAGAAGTGTGTACCTGCCCGGCCAGCCCCACCTTGCTGCTTTCACAGGGGGGCACGCAGCACCCCTCAGAACCTGCAACAGCCCTTCCAGAAGAGGATCCCCCGTGGCTGGAGGCAGCGGCTCTCGGCCAGGCACTGACTGCCCAAGGTCTCAGGGCCAGGACAGGGTGAGGTGGGGACTCCCTCCCCACTGACTCTGAGGGCGAAGCTCTTCCCAGTGTCTTGCGCCTCAGGTCCCAGCAGCTGCATGCAGGGGAGTCATGGCCAAGTGTGGCACCCAGTGCCCTGGCTCTGAGCCCCCTCGGTGAGCTGCAAGGTGCTTTCCCCTCCAGAGTCCCTGTCCTCATCGGCCAATGAGGCTAGGCCCAGGGCTCAGGGCGGGGCGGGGAGGGAGGAAGGGGAGCTAAACTGTATGAGGAGCTAACACATTCATGGAGGATGTGGATGTCCCTTTCAGGGAGGGACTGACGTTATAAATAAAATGTTGGCGCGTGGCTAACAGAAAGCCCCAGCTCCACAAGATACTTTCCAGAGCTTCATTCTGAGCCAATATGAGTGGGCGCAGCCCAGGAAGGAGCGCATCACCCAGGAAGCCCTGAGTGGGTGGCCCTGAGGCCGTCTTCAGGCAGCCATGATTCACGGAGCTTCTACACGGGTTTAGCTGACACGTCATCGGTGGGGCCAGACGTGCTTTAATCTGTAATTACTTAAAGAAGTCAAGCTTTGTGGACAAATTTAGAGTCATCAGAAAGGAACATTTTAAGTTAAGATTAAGTCTTTTAACGACACGCCGGGTCACAGTGGCCTGTGGGGTGCATGACCTGACCCCGGCCTGGCGGGGCCTCCGGTCCTGTTTAGAGTTAGTATCTTAGGGTCACCGCCTGCGATCGCTCGGTTCACGGTGCTGGTCAGTCCTGCCTGAACCCCCACAGGGAAGCGGGGGGGTGAGTGAGGCGCTCTGCCCTCCCATCCATCCTGCCTGGGAACTCTGTTTTCAGGTTTCTCTGGCGTCCCTTTGGCCAAGAGGCGGCCATATTCAGTTGTGGGGCTTGGAGTTTTATTTCCATTTTATAGCACACAGCACTTCTGCAGACTGACGGCAGGGCCCGCAGGTGTCCACAGATGTGTGACATGCCTGCGTCACAGGGAGCGCACACTTCCGGTGTGAGAATGAGGCTGTCTGTGTGAGAATGAGGATGAGTGTGAAGCTCAGCCATAGCGGGCCCCTGTGGTGGGTCTTCAGGCCCAGAGGCCAAGGACGGCACCCACAGTGGGAACCTGGGCTGACCATCTGACCCCGGAGCCCAACTGTCCCCCAGAAGCCCAAACGGACCCCCACATGGGCTCCCCTCTGAGCCCAAAACCCTCCACAGGTCGGGGGGTGGTGGAAGGACCTCCCTGCCCCTCCGGCTAACCCCTAAGATACCGCTGGATAAGCAAACTGACAGGCAGGCAGCTGCGGGAACCCGACTTGGTTATGGTTTATGCTCGGCCCCCAGGCAGCTGGCTTTCAGGAAGGGACCGACTTTATAAATAAAATGCATCATTGTAATGACGGCGCCTTTGAGAGCAGAGGACTTTCACAGCCTCTTGGAGGTCATGGATAATTGAGGAGAAGGGAAAGGGCCGCTTTGGTTAGTGTCCCGCACTGCCCAGAGGTCCCCATTATCTCAGCTTCAGGGACCAGCAGGGGCTCCAGCGTTGTGTGGTTCTGACTGGCGGAGACCGGTGTGGCTGTCACCCAGGGCGGCTCTGCCACACTCGGGGCTGGGGGCAGCGCCCAGGTGTCCTGTATTCTTAATGAGGGCTCTGACTCAGCAACAGGGTGACCATACATGGCCCCGTCTAAAGGCCCTGCCTCAGCCTGAGAATGACAAGCTGCAGGCTGCACGGAAGGGGCCTTGGCCTCCCACTCCGGCTGTGACCTGGGGCAGGAGCTAACTGCATCCACAAGCCGGAAGGGCAGCGCCTCTCCAGCAGCTACGTGTCAGGGCCAGAGAGCAGACACGGGACCAGGGTGTCACAGGGCACCCCCACACGCCCAGAATCTGCTCCCTGGCCTCCCACCTCTCTCCCCACCTGAGGTCTGTGGGACCCTGAAGAGTCCCCTGAGGCAAAAATCCTCCTTTGCTTGCCTCCAGTGACCAGGAACTCACTACCTCACTGTTGGCTGTTCCTCCCATGGTCAGCTCTGCCTGGAGGGAATCCTCCCCACCAGTCCCTGTGCAGAGCAGCCTGTGCCTGTGGAGCCACAGCCCAGGTCCCGGCTCTCACTCCGAGCATGCGTCAGCCCTGTAACCCCAAACGCACACCCTCCTCATTCCCCCATTCCCTCTCCTCCTCTCCTAAGCCCACTCTCATCAACCCCCAGGGTCCTCGGGCCGAGCCCAACTGTGACCACCACATGGCAAGCTCCGCAGGGACCTGACTCCTTGTCCCTCCTGCCCTGTCACTGGCACTGAGTGTACCAGTGGCCAAGGCCTGCTCAAGTGGCCCCCCCCGGACTCACCTGCCACCTCCACACCGTGTGCCTACTCCCACCCCCAGGCCTTCTCTCCATTACCCTCTTACCATGGTCGTGGCTTGTGGGGCCTCTCATGACCCCAACGCACACGTCCTCACCCAGCTGGAGACGCTCCACCAAGCCCTCTTGGGAGGCTTCCCATGCTCACAAAGCCACGGACCACCCACTGCAGAGACGGCCACTACGAAGGCACGTTCCCACTGCCGCCAGAGGGGACTGGGGCTCAGGATGGCCTCAGCAGGCAGGGGGTGCAGCCCTGAGCCCCAGAGGCGCCTGGAGAACCTTTGGACCGATTTCCGTCACAAGCCCTGGTGCTGCAGTCGGCCCGGCCTGCAGGAATTTACCTCGGGCTGTCTGCCAGGCAGGGGAAGGGCTGGCCTCCAGGCGTCTGTACATGAGGCCATGGCCAACCCCACCCCCTGGGCCAGCAGTAGCCTCTCTTATGCCCAGGGTCCTTCTGCTTCAACCAGCTCTGAACCTCACCCCCATCTCCTAGACCCACCGGCCCTTTCCTCCCTGGCCCAGGTCAGCCTGGGGCCTGCACACCCTCCGGCCCAACCCTCAACCCTGCAGCCATGGACGGGGCTGTGCTGAGGCCCTTCGGGGCTCTCCCCATTCCAGCCAGACTGGGTCCAGGGAAAGCTGGGAGCCTGGGCCAGCACCACGTGGCCATGAGCAGAGTGGCCACACTCATCAGCCCCTGCAGCCTCCGCTCCCATGTGCCACCCACCCCACCCCAACCACCTTCCAGGACCACCCCAAGGAAAACAGCCCAGCCCGGCCAGCTCGCTGGACTTCCCCAGCACTCAGGAGCGCCCGGCCACTGGGCATGCTCCACCCTCCGGTTGAATGCCAACTGGCCTCAGTCGATGTGTCCCCAGGGCCCTGCTTAGGGTGGGCACGCCAGGAAGATCTGGGGAGGGTGGGACATCCTTTATTCCCAGCTCACAGGGAGAGGTGAGGGTGTAGCAGAGGTCACCCAGCTGAACAGTGACGGGGTGGGTGCAAACCTGGGAACCACGTCATTGGCGTCACTGCCCGTGGGCACGTGGGCCCACCAGCCAGCTGTGGGCAGGCCTGGCACAGCCGGGCTCCTCCCTGGCCCTACCCAGCACAGGCACTGGGCAGCTCAGCACTCCCCTGGGCCGGCCTTATCTCGCCCTGGAGAGCCCAGGCTGGAGTGAGGCGCAATGGACGAGGGGAGGAGGGTGCAGCCCGGCCTTATCAGGTAAGGCTGGAAACATGACCCTGCGGGGACCTGAGCCCCATGTGGAGCCATCAGCTGGCTGATAAATTACCCAGAGGGCATGTCCACAGGGCAGTCCGCATAGCCTTTCCAGAGTGGGATGTTCCCAAGGTCTGCGTGCTGGCCGACCCCTCCCCTCTGCCAACAAGAAGGGTCAGGAAGGAATTGCCCTGGAGCCCCCCAACCTTTGAAATCCTGGAGGGACAGCTCCAGTCCCAGGAAGCCGAGAAGAGGTGCCCAAGTCGGGCACAGGTGGGAGAGGGGTCTTGTCTGGGTCCAGGACCTCAATTCTTCCTAGGACCAGCCAGCCTTCCTCAGTGCTGTCCCTGGAACAGGGGCCAGCGAACCACGGCCCTCCAGCTGGTCTGGCCCACCCCATTTGTAGACACAGAGCGCACTGTGCTCATACAGCCCCCTATGAGAAGAGTTTGCCACCCCTGCCCTGTACAGAAGACGGCGGTGAGGCGAAGGGAGTGCCAGTCTGTGGAACCCCACCCCGATGGCCACCATGAGAATGCTCAGATGGTGAGCTCCTGACCACTGGGTCCAGGCAGCCCCCAAGCTGGCCCTGAGCAGTCACCCCCTGTCCCCCAGCCCGACACCCCAGGCTCCCGGGGGTCCTGTAGCTTGACCCAAGGGAGTTGCACCCCCACTCCTAATGGAGCAACATGGGTCTCCCCACACCTCCTCCCACAGCTCCCTCAAATGATTCAAAGCCCCACAAACCAGGCAGGTTTTGTGTGTGGAGGGCATCACGTGTGGTGGTGCCCTCACCAGCCTCTCAGACCTGCCTTTGCGTGCACCAGCAGATCGGGGGCTGGCAAGGACGGGCCACCAAGCCTGAGCCGGGACGCCACCTCTAGGCGGTGTGACTCTGGGCAGACTGCCTCACCTCTCAGAGCTGCACTTTCATCTACAAATGAGGGGCAGACTCAGCGGGGTGGGTGGACACCGAGCCCAGGACGGACCCTGAGAAAGGCTGGCCCTTCAGCCCTGCCATCCTGCACTGACCCAGACATTGCCCCCTCCTGCCAGGGCAATACTGACTCTCGGCCAGTGGGCCCCAAACCGGCAGCGTGGGACCCATCCTTTGCCTCTCCCTCTGGTAACCCCAATTCAGGACTCACAGGGACACGGGCACAGGGGCCAGGGGCAGAGCGGGCACCTTTCCACCTCGGAGGCCCCCTGCTGGGTCAGGGTCTTACTGAAGGCTGGACTCTGATCACTCCCCTCCCGCAGCCCCAGCACCTTCCCCCTCTTCTCTGCCCCGAATTCCAATCCACAGGTTTTTCTAAGAGCTGCGCAGCTCTGAAATTGGCCTGGGAGGGGGCACATTTGGGCCAGGAGGGCGGGGAACAGCATGACACTCTGGTCTTATCTGAAGTCCCGGTCTGTTGTCCACTGGGGGCCTGGGGAACAGCCACCCCCTTCTGCTCGGAGGCCAGTGGCCTGTCCTCGGGGTCGCTGCTATTTCTGCCAAAGGGGAGAAGTAATTATAGCACCGCCGCTGCCAGCTGGCCCAGCTTTGCGATCCAGCAGAGAGGGCTGGAGACAAAGGCCGCAGCAGACCTAGCCCCACAGGCAGGCGGTGGCACCTCCAGACCAGAGCCCTCGCAAGGAGGCCTGGGCAGGCCTGGCCCATCCACCTGTGTGCCCTGCAGTCCTGTCTGAGGCTCAGCTCTCAAGGGCCTGGGGGTGGGTGTTACCGGCCGGGAGGGGCCAGGACCTCACTGGACTGTGCCCCGCAGAGAGGCCCCGAAGAGCCTGTTTCTGTCCCTCAGAGAGCCAGGAAAGAGCCAGGTAAGTTCCAGCCCCAGGCAGAGGGGCTGACTACCTGCCTGGGTGTGAAGCTGCAGAGCAGAGAGATTGCCAAGGGCAGGCGCAGGTGCAGACCCTGCACCCTGTGGGCAGCAGGTGTGGGCAGAGGCAGGGCAGAGCACACGCTGATGACCCTGAGTGGCCTGGAGAGGCTCAGGGTGGCCACCCTTCCCTCTTCTCCTGGGACTGACAGTTTCCCTAAAACAGAGAGTCCCAGGCTGGCCCTGTGTCCACACTGTCTGAGGCCAGGCCACCTCTGGGGGAAGCAGGGATCCTGGCCGATTTAAACCCAGCAGGTGGGGTGAGGGTCTCTGGCCATACAAAAGCCTCCCAGGGTACCCGATGTCGGGTGACACAGCCTGGGCAGTTGGAGGAGGGGCCTCACTCTCAGCAAAATGCAGGGAGCCATGTCAGGCGTGAGCCCAGCCAGCCTTCCCCACAGGGCCCTGATGGGGGCATCCTGAGAGGGCAGGTCTACGCAGGCCAGCACAGCAAGAACGGATCCGTGACTCCGGGGACTGGAGCCTGGTTCTCAGCATCTGCGAATCCCTGGGAACAGGCTCTTTTCTGCGTAGAGTCAAAGTGAATCCCTGTCCGCCCTGTGTGGCCGTGGGTCCCCCACCCAGCTCAGGACACCATTTCTTGGGCACCTACCGAGCTTTGCAGTGCCCTGGACAGCTGGCCAACAACCCCATTCCACGTATGGGAGGGAGGGAGGGCCTGGGGTGTCCTGCCGCGTCTGTCTGGGGCTCTCGAGGCCTAGGGTGCCCCTGCACCCAGCAGACGAGCAGCCGTCACCGGGCATTGCTGCCACCCCGAGCCCTTGGGTGTGAGGGCCACCCACCTAGGCACAGAAAGGGGCCTCAGGGGCCACCAGGCAGCTCCTGCTCCCACTCCTTCCTGGTGGGGCCTGCAGGCACTTGAGCAAGGCCGGCGGGTGGTCAGCGCAGCCAGGGGCTTCCGCACAATTCCCTCTTACTTAAGTGTTATGTGGGCAGCTGCCAGCGTGGTTCCATGGTGAGTGTTGGGATGGGAGCCAAGGCCTTTCCCAGGAGCCCAGACACCCCACCTGGCTGTGCTCTGCCCTGCAGAGGAAAGGCCAGCAAGGTGGGGCCCACGGTCCCCGTCCTCTTCCACCGCCCGCATCTGCAGCCCAGGGTCAGCAGGTTAGACCTGCGGCCAGAGAACCAAGATGCCTGGGAGAGTGAGGAGGCCCAACTCCACCTGTGCCACCGAGCCCGTGGGTGACAGGCTCCCCACAGACCCGGCTGTCCCGAGAGCAGCAAGTCGGTCAGGGCCCTCGGGGCCGCTGAGGCCACTGCTCTGTCACCGTAATGGAAACTTGTCAGCTGAGCCGTGAGCGGCAAGAGCTCCAGTTCACACGCGCCACAGCAAGGCTGTGGCCAACGGTGGATTTCGGGGCCGGCCCGGTGGGCGAGCCACCCCAAGGTGCAGCACTGGTAGGAGCCCAGGTGGGCAGGGGCAGAGAGAGTGAGACAGAGAGAGACAGAGAGTGAGACAGAGAAAGACAGAGAAAGAGAGACAGAGTGTGTGTGTGTGTGTGTGTGTGTGTGTGTCTGTGTGTGTGTGTGTCTGTGTGTGTGTGTCTGTGTGGGTGTGTGTTTGTAAGTAGTGGGGTGGGGGCTGTGAGTTGCCACCCTCTCCCAGGGAAGTCTCTGGCTTTGAGGAGGCTGGTCCCCGTCTCTAGCCCCTGAGAGGCCCTGGGGGAGGCTGCATCTGTGCCAGGGAGGCAGGGAGCCCGGCCTCGGCTGTGGTGGCTCAGGGCCCCAGAACCCCAGGCCTGGAAGGCTGTGAAGCTGCGGTATAAATGGGCACAGCACGAGGTGAGGGCTGAGCTGGGAATGCCAGGCCACGTGCTCAGAGCCGAGGAAGGGCCCTCTCTGTGTGGGGTGGGTGGGGTGTCAGGGTCTCCCTCGAGCCAGCTGCTGCATGGGGGGGGTCCTGCTCACCCTGAGGAGCTCTCAGTGAGGACAGAGAAACCCCAGAAGGTGGGCTGTGGGTGAGAGGGCAGCAGCATGGGGCAGGCAGAGGCAGCAGCATGGGAGGAGGTGGGAAGTCCAGTGGGTGGCATCCTGGAGGTCGGGGCAGGAGTGGGAGGGAGCCCAGTGGGTGGTGTCCTGGAGGCCGGGGCAGGAGTGGGAGGGAGCTCAGCGGGTGGCGTCCTGGAGGCCAGGGCAGGAGTAGGAGGGAGCCGCAGAGGCTGGGCCCCAAAGCTTGGCGTTATCCAAGCCCCTGAACCCGGCCAGAACCGCTGCCCAGCCCATGCCCTGCTGCAGGCTGGTCTCTCGGTGGAGGGACTCGAGGTAGAGGACTTGGCACCGCTGGGTTCCATCAGTGCCCTCACATCTCTCGACGGCTTCAAGATGAGGTGGGGTCTTTGGGGTACTGGGCCAGACCCAAAAAGACTGTTGGAGGGTCACACCCCAGACCAGGGCCCTGGGCCTCAGCCCTCATGGCACCGGCTCTCACTGTAGCACCAGCAGGTCAGGCCCACAGCTGGGCACTCCTGGCCCTGGCCTCAGTCTCTGTCCCAACCCAGGCTCTGAAGCCTGACAAGCCGTTCTCCCTGTCTAGGCCTCAGTTTCCCCTCCCCCAAGGGAGCTTGGTGCCCCTCTCAGTAGAGGAGCTGGTAAGAACCCCCCAGGCCCCCAGCACGAAGGGAGGCTCCATAGGGTTCCCGTTTCCTGTGTAGGGGCAGAGTCTCCGCGGTGGACATGCCCTCCCCACAGCCGGCCTAGCGGGACACTGGCAGGCACAGGCTCTGAAGCTATTTCCACCCTTATCTTGCATCTGTCATGAGGCCTCCAGTTACACACGGTCCCTGCCAGAGCCCCAGGCCTCTCCACCCCCACCAGCCCAGCATGCCAGAGCCACTCCTCCCCTGCTTCTGGTGGGGAAAATGAGGCCCAGGGAGGTCACAGAGCCCAAAAGGACAGAGCCCAGGACTTGGGCCAGGCCTCCCCTTCGCCCAGTTAGGGAGGGGTTGGCAGGGCTCGGGGGCCGCCTGGGAGCAGAGCCTGGCCCACGTGGAGGTGTGTCTCTGGAGAGGGCCCAGGTCTCCGGGAGGGGAAGTAGCACCCGATAGGAAGTCCTGACTGTCCAGACGTGGGCAGAGCCACCTGAGCTCTGTTCCTGGGTGGCCAGGTCTCATCCCCTCCCCCAGTGAGGGCAACAGTGGCTGGTGGCGCACACGCCTGGTGCAGACTCGGGTCTGTGTACCGACTCCTGCCCTCATGCCAGCCCACAGAGGCTGCTGCTCTCCTCACCCAACTCACAGCTGACACACCGAGGCCCTGGCAGCTTAGGAGACGTGCCTAAGGCCACACGTGATCGCGCAACGTGCTCTGGGGCCCACACCCAGAGAGGGGGAGGTGCCATCCCACAGGAAGTCCTGAGGGTCCACACTTGGGCAGAGCTCTGTTCCTGGGGGACGAAGTCACATCCTCTCCAAGTTACACTGCTCAGCGACTGACGGTCGATGCCACAGCCAGGTGCCCACACGAACACACTGCCCACACAGGCACACTCACATATACTCTATACAGACACACATCCAGCCACACATATGCAGATACACTCATACACGTGCACACAGGCACATGCAGGGACACCCACACACGCACTCACACACATTCACAGGCACACACACAAATACAACTACATGTAAGCACACACAGCCATGCCGCCATGCACTCAAACCCGTGCACACTCACATCACGTGCAGTTCACACACACACACGCATGCACACTCCCGGGCGTGTTGACACATGTGTGCACTCACTCACACAGATGTGCACACACAGGTTGTCCCACCGGCCCTTGGCAGACCCCAGCCCAAGAGGGCTGAACAGCAAGTGCTCCTGGCAGGAGCTGGGGGGGGCGATGTCCAGCCCTGCGTCCCTGACCGTCGCCGTTGGCCTGAGCCTCTCCAGGCCTGTTTCCTCATGAGAGGTCAACCTGGCTGGGCCCCTGGAAGGCTGCTCCAGGGCCCCAAGCTGTGCAGCCACAGGAGGTGCCCCAAATGCACAAGCCTCCTTCCGCTGGGCAGAGGGAGAGCCAGGGCTCTGGCTCCAGGAGGTTGCTGGGGGTCTCTGCTCCACCCCCAACCCCACCCCTAGGCTTTAGCAGAGTTTCTTTTCCACCCAGGGTGGAAACTGAGCCCAGGGCATCTGGAGAGCTCCTCCCCCCTCCAGTCCTGCTGAGGACAGGTGGTCAAGGTTGCCCTGCCGGGCAGCAGCCCCAAAACACCACGACCGGCCTGGGGCTCTGCGGCTTCCCTAAGCCTGGGGATTATGCAGAGCCCACCTTCCCAGTGACCTTAGCCCCAGGAGACGGGGCCCCAGCTCAGATGGGCCCTGGAGCACCACCTCTCCCACGGCCACCTCTGAGAGCAGGTCCTGAAGATAAGCTGCCCTGTCCCCGCCACCGCCCAGGACGTCCAGCTCCTGCCACAACCCTATTTGCAATAAAAACCTGATCCTGAGATAGGAGGAAATTGCTCCCTTTTGAAATGATTGAACCCGTCCAGGCAGCGTCCTCCCAGACATCATTAACGGGGCGCTCTGCTCATCTGCAGTGTTTACACCGCTCGGGGAAGCGGTCACAGCCACTGTTATCTCCTATAGAGGACGGCACAGGCCGCCCGAGTCCCTGCAGTCCACCGAAGCCAGCTCCTCCCACAGGCCTGTCCTCACCTCTGAGGCACCTGCCCTGTGGGGACCCTGGAGGAATGTCCTTGAGGACCATGTAAGCCCCTCGCCCTCGCTCTTGCGTGTCTCAGCGCTCAGGGACAGGGTCCTGGGGCATCAGTGGAAGCCAGGGAAGCACCTCAGAGAATGCAAACACCTTCCCTGTGAGGGGCGGGGGCGCCAGTGCCCTCGCAGGACCCCAGCGCAGGGAGAGCCTGGGGCGGCAGGAGGCCCCCACACCACCCCTATCCAGCTAGGAGCAGGGAGGACCTGGCCTGGCATCAGCTCCCAGGGAAGCACCAGCCCCCTCTAGCCTCAGTTTCCCAACCTGCAGCAAGAGAAGCAGGCTTATCACCCCCAGGGCCCTTGAAAGACAGACACTCGGTCCCAGCTTATCTACACGGATGCCTGGTGGGCTCTGCACCCCTTGGCAGGGAGGAGGAGCGCCCAGAAGTCAAGAACCCCACCAAGACTGTGAAAGAAAATTCACACTGGCGGGGGGGTTCCACCGGCGAGCAAGAATGAGGAGAGTGCAGCCTCCGCCACCAAAGACACAGGGATAGAGGCGAGGAGGCACGATTCACAGCCGGGAAGCCAGCAGCGCGACAGAGGAGGGGGCAGAGAGACAGACACAGAGATGGAGAGAGAGAGGCAGAATCAGAGAGAGGCGGGGGACAGAGAGACAGACACAGAGATAGAGAGAGAGGCAGAATCAGAGAGAGGCGGGGAGCAGAGACACAGAGATAGAGAGAGAGAGAGAGAAGCAGAATCAGAGAGAGGCGGGGGGACAGAGAGACAGACACAGAGATAGAGAGAGAGAGGCAGAATCAGAGAGAGGCGGGGGGCAGAGAGACAGACACAGAGATAGAGAGAGAGAGGCAGAATCAGAGAGAGGCGGGGGCAGAGACACAGAGATAGAGATAGAGAGAGAGAAGCAGAATCAGAGAGAGGCGGGGGACAGAGAGACAGACACAGAGATAGAGAGAGAGAGGCAGAATCAGAGAGAGGCGGGGGCAGAGACACAGAGATAGAGATAGAGAGAGAGAAGCAGAATCAGAGAGAGGCGGGGGGACAGAGAGACAGACACAGAGATAGAGAGAGAGAGGCAGAATCAGAGAGAGGCGGGGGCAGAGACACAGAGATAGAGATAGAGAGAGAGAAGCAGAATCAGAGAGGGGCAGGGGGACAGAGAGACAGACACAGAGATGGAGAGAGAGGCAGAATCAGAGAGAGGCGGGGGCAGAGACACAGAGATAGAGATAGAGAGAGAGAAGCAGAATCAGAGAGAGGCGGGGGGACAGAGAGACAGACACAGAGATAGAGAGAGAGAGGCAGAATCAGAGAGAGGCGGGGGGCAGAGACACAGAGATAGAGATAGAGAGAGAGAAGCAGAATCAGAGAGGGGCAGGGGGACAGAGAGACAGACACAGAGATAGAGGGAGAGAGGCAGAATCAGAGAGAGGCAGGGGGACAGAGAGACAGACACAGAGACAGAGAGAGAGAGGCGGGGGGACAGAGAGACAGACACAGAGATAGAGAGAGAGAGGCAGAATCAGAGAGAGGCGGGGGGACAGAGAGACAGACACAGAGACAGAGAGAGAGAGGCGGGGGGACAGAGAGACAGACACAGAGATAGAGAGAGGGAGGCAGAATCAGAGAGAGGCGGGGGGACAGAGAGACAGACACAGAGACAGAGAGAGAGAGGCGGGGGGACAGACACAGAGATAGAGAGAGGGAGGCAGAATCAGAGAGAGGCAGGGGGACAGAGAGACAGACACAGAGACAGAGAGAGAGAGGCGGGGGGACAGAGAGACAGACACAGAGATAGAGAGAGAGAGGCAGAATCAGAGAGAGGCGGGGGGACAGAGAGACAGACACAGAGATAGAGAGAGAGAGGCGGAATCAGAGAGAGGCGGGGGGACAGAGAGACAGACACAGAGATAGAGAGAGAGAAGCAGAATCAGAGAGGGGCAGGGGGACAGAGAGACAGACACAGAGACAGAGAGAGAGAGGCGGGGGGACAGAGAGACAGACACAGAGACAGAGAGAGAGAGGCGGAATCAGAGAGAGGCGGGGGGACAGAGAGACAGACACAGAGATAGAGAGAGAGAGGCGGAATCAGAGAGAGGCAGGGGGACAGAGAGACAGACACAGAAACAGAGAGAGAGAGGCGGAATCAGAGAGAGGCGGGGGGACAGAGAGACAGACACAGAGACAGAGAGAGAGAGGCAGAATCAGAGAGAGGCGGGGGGACAGAGAGACAGACACAGAGACAGAGAGAGAGAGGCGGAATCAGAGAGAGGTGGGGGGACAGAGAGACAGACACAGAGATAGAGAGAGAGAGGCGGAATCAGAGAGAGGCGGGGGGACAGAGAGACAGAGGCAGAATCAGAGAAAGGCAGGGGGCAGAGACACAGAGATAGAGATAGAGAGAGAGAAGCAGAATCAGAGAGAGGCGGGGGACAGAGAGACAGACACAGAGATAGAGAGAGAGAGGCGGAATCAGAGAGAGGCGGGGGGACAGAGAGACAGAGGCAGAATCAGAGAAAGGCAGGGGGCAGAGACACAGAGATAGAGATAGAGAGAGAGAAGCAGAATCAGAGAGGGGCAGGGGGACAGAGAGACAGACACAGAGATAGAGAGAGAGAGGCAGAATCAGAGAGAGGCGGGGGGACAGAGAGACAGAGGCAGAATCAGAGAAAGGCAGGGGGCAGAGACACAGAGATAGAGATAGAGAGAGAGAAGCAGAATCAGAGAGGGGCAGGGGGACAGAGAGACAGACACAGAGATAGAGAGAGAGAGGCGGAATCAGAGAGAGGCAGGGGGACAGAGAGACAGACACAGAGATAGAGAGAGAGAGGCGGAATCAGAGAGAGGCGGGGGGACAGAGAGACAGAGGCAGAATCAGAGAGAGGCGGGGGGCACAGACACAGAGACAGAGAGACAGAGGCAGAATCAGAGAGAGGCGGGGGCGCAGAGAGACAGAGACAGGGATAGAGAGAGAGAAGCAGAATCAGAGAGAGGTGGGGGGACAGAGAGACAGACACAGAGATAGAGAGAGAGAGGCAGAATCAGAGAGAGGCGGGGGGGTAGAGAGACAGAGGCAGAGAGATACAGAGATAGAGACAGACTCAGAGAGAGGCAGGGGGACAGAGAGACAGAGACAGAGATAGAGAGACAGAATCGGGGGGCAGAGAGAGACATAGAGCATCTGAGCTGTGCTGAGGGGTGGGCCCCCCACCAGCACCAGCCCAAAAAGGTGGGCATGACCTTCTGGGAAGCCTTTCTGGGGGCCCAGCCTCAGAGCCCCAACAATTCCCAGCCCATGAGCCCAGGGCTTGCCACCACTGACAGGAGACGAAGGAAGATGTTCCCTGCAGCCTTAGCCACGCCCTCAAAGCACTGCAAGTGACACGTTAAAATGCAAACTTCCTGAACACCCGGCATCGGGCGGCTTTACGTGACAGGCCCTCGCCCAGGGGAATATTACGCAGCCATTACAGAGGACGGTTATGAAGCCTGTAGCAGCCCCGGCAATTGCTTGCGACGGGGTTTCTGAACCAGCAGGGAGCAGGCCTTATCTGCGCTGGGGGTGCCACAGAGGAACAGTGGCGCTGCTCATCAGCGTGGCCCGTCGCAGGCCCGGGAAGCCAGCCTGGCGTCCGGGGGAGGATCTCCTCTTATTTTCATTCCTCCGAGTGCTGCTTGCACAGTAAATGATAAATAACGTCTTCGCTTCTCTCAGGACCATGTTCCAGTAGATGAGGACTGCGGCAAGAGCCTTGGGCCCCGACTCCCGGCGAGAGACGCCACGTCAGACCAGGGAGAATGAGGAGGCCGTGTGGCGCCCACGGGGGTGTGCGGCGCAGAGGGTAAGGCGGGCCGCCGGGACGCAGGCTTGGCAGGCTGGGCTTCCACTGGGGCTGGAGGGGCGGGGAGCAGGTGAAGAGGAAAGGAATCAGGGGGTGATGGGAGGAGGGCAGGGGGATCACCGAGGGCCCCCAGGTGGGGCACAGCCTGGCAGAGGAAGTGGGAGCCATGGAGGGCTGTGGAAGAGGCAGCCCCGGGCAGCGCAGAGGGTGTTGGAGGAGGGAAGACGGTGGAGAGAGGAGGACAGGTCAAGACTGTCACCAAGGGTTAGGGTTAGGGTTAGGGTTAGGGTTAGGGTTAGGGTCAGGGGCCAGATCTCAGGCCTGAGGCTCCATCCACACTCCCAGGCACTGCCAGGTCAGGCAGGGCCACAGGCACAGGAGGCGCTGGGCTGGACACAGCAGGGGCAGGCCTCACGCCCTCGGGGTCAGCCTCGATGGGCGCTCAGCAGGCTGTGCGCAGCGAGCAATGCCCCAGCCAGGAGCGACCTCAGTGCCAGCCCCGCTCCCAGGCACCTCAGCCCCAGTTGTCACCATGTCACAGGCCAGGATGCTGAGGTTCACAGCAGACCAAAACTCTGGCTCCATCTTCCAAACTCAGGCAGGGCCCAAACACCTGAGCAGACTGGCACGAGAAGGGCCCAGGGAGGCAAATGTGCAGGAGCTGCCCCTGCCCACAGTCTGGGAGGCTCAGCCCCAAGGAAAAGGAGGAAAAGGAGGCCAAGGTCACCAACCAGCCCTCCTCATGGCCCTGCCCCAGCCCCTGCCCCGTGGAGCTTGCAAACTCTGGCCCCTAAGCCAGAGTCCCTCCGCCAATGCAGCCCCTTCCCCTGTCCAGCAGCCTGAAGCTGAGACAGCGGCAGAGGAAGAGAGGCTTGCTGGGGCCCTGCGTGAAGAGGCGGGGCAGGAGGGGCTCCTGTCTTTCCTAGGCCCCTGACATGAGCCTGGCTGCCCTACAGTCCCTGTCCAGGCACCGCCCCTCACCCCACAGGAGGTGGCAGCCCCACCAGAACACAGCAGCCGGAACGGGGTACAGGCTTCGGGACAGTGCTGCTGGCCCCACCTGGGTCCCACCGGGCCTCCTGCCCTGTCACTGGCCTCTCCATGCCTGGGTGTGAGCAGAGCCTCCCAGTGGGGTGTCCTGAGAGCTCAGGGAGGCTTTGTGTGTGCAGCCTCGGAATAACACAGACACTCCCAGTCCATGTCAGCGCCGCCATGTCCGTCACACCTAGAAATTAATCCCGACCCCAGTGGGCGAAGGGACAGAGCTGGGGGTGAGCCTGCCTGCTGGTCCCTGACCAAGTCCACGCCACACCATAGGGGCTTCGACCCTGACCTGGCCACGATGGAGCTGCCCACGGGAAGGTCTAGGGGTCTCCATGCCCCTCTCGGCTCCCCACAGCAGCTCCCTCTGCATAAAGCCCAGAGGACGAGGCCTGTGTCCAGCAGAGGGGACTCACTGTCTGCTTCCCACGCCGTTCCAGGAGGACAACAGGAGGTGCCCCCACTCCATCCTGAAACGGAGCCGGCCGGAGCACCGCTGCCCAGGGCCCGAACCCCAGAGGACCTCGAGGCGCGTGCGGTTCCGAGAGCCCCCAGAGGTGACCATCCACTGTAAGAGGGCACCCACAGCAAGCGGCTGGGAGGGTGGTGTCCAGGAAGAGGGAGTTGGGGCACCGGCCACACCCACGCAGCTCTGGCAGGGCCAAGGGCATGGGGGGACCACAGCCACCTGTCTTCAGTGGCAGAACCCAGTAAGGCCTGGGCCCGCGGGGTCCCTGGACACAGTCCTGGCCGTGAAATGGCAACTGGCGGAAAACATGACGGTGGCTTCTTGAATCATGACTGTCCACTCAGGGAGGTCTCAGGGTGCTGCCAGGCCTGGGTCTCTCACCAGTGAATCGTCTCAGGGTCCGTGGGGGTGCAGGGTGCGATGAGAGGGCAGGGGCACCCGATAGACTGAGGCAGGTGCCCCCAGCCGATTCTACGTTCTCCTTCCCAGACATTGCTGTCAGGGACGCCACGGCCACAGTCAAGGGTGAGTTCTGAGCCCACATTCCTGCCCCCACTGCCCCCTCCCTGTGTGCACCCACCCTCACGCTCTCCCTGAGGGAGGTATCACAGGGCCAGGGCCTCCAAGAGGCTGGGGAGGGGCCATGGGCAGGGACAGGGTGGGATCTCCCCATCCCTTCCCCACCAACCCGGGTCCTCCAGGGAAGGGTGGGGCTGGCTGGCGCTGGCGCTGATGCTGCCCGCCCTCTGGCCGCAGCGCCTGGCCGGCCCAGGCCACACGGCGGCTCCCTGCTCCTGCGGCTGTGCGTGTGTGTCCTGCTCGTGGTGGCCCTGGGCCTGTACTGTGGCCGGTCTAAGCCCGTGGCAACGGCGCTGGAGGACCTGCGGGCCTGGCTCCTCGGCCTTGTCCTGCACCTGCGGCATGTGGTCCTCACTGGCTGGCGTGGCCTGCTGTGGCTCTGACATGGGGGATGGGCAAGGCTTCCGGGAAAGCCCCAGCACCCTGGGGCTCCGAGACAGCCCAAGCCCTGGCCCTGCTGCTTGGTGAATTGTGGGGGCTGGAGGGGCTGCTGCCTGGGGCTGACTGAGAACAGGGGGGCCCCTGGCATGAGAGCGGACATTGGGGCACAGCGGGCAGCCCCGCCACACCTGTCAGCACAGCGCCCCGTCTCCTGTGTTGGGTCCACGTGAGATTTTACTAGAAAGAGGATCCTACTGCTAACATTGGGGGCCTCCATGCTGGGGCTCCCCAGGCTCGACCAAAGACCCCTTCCTCACCCCAGCAGGCACTCCTGCAGCGGCTGGGGCCTGGCCTGGCTGCCCTCTTGAGGAGGACATACGGCCTGTGTCCTGTGTCCAAGGGGCTGCTGGAAGGAGGCAAACCCAGCCTTTCTGCTACTAGGGCCTGGGGGGACCCAGACCTCGAAACCCCATCTTGTTGTCAAGGTGGGTCCCTTAGAGGTGAGGTACCATCCTCTGAGCCCAGGTCTGACCCTCTACTCAGCCCCATGAGTCTGGAGAGGCCCCAGGGGAGGACTCCTCATCAGGGGTGGCTTCAGGCATAGAAGCCAAGGCGACGGCAAGGGGCCTGGACACTCCCGGCCTCCGGGTCATGGGCATCTGTGCTCAGTTCTATGGGTCCAAACACCCCCAGCCTTCAGAATACAGCCATGTGCGCCCAGCTCTGCAGGCCGGGGACACCCAACAGAGCCCGGAACCAGCCATCGCCACCCAGCAGCTGGGGCTTATGGGTCCCGGTGACCGTCCGTGATTGTGGCTTTATCACCAGATTGCAGAGCTGAAGTCACCAGTGGGTGACAAACACCAGGGGCCCCTCCAGAGCCTACATGGGGGGAGGGCTGAACAAAGCAGGGAAGCCTGCAGTTAGACACCAGGCAGAACTGCCCAGGAGAGACACAGGGGCAATCAGACCAGTGTCCTCGGGGCTGGCCTGAGAGGCGGGGCATGGCGGACGACCCCCCCAGTGGTTCCTCTGTCTGTCCCACCACCAAGCTGGGAGACCCTGTTCTATTAAAACGCTGTGGCCTCCTTCAGTACTGGAGTTAGTACAGAAACAAGAGAAGCCAGAACAGGTGTGCTAGGGGACAGCCTCCGTGAGCAGAGCAGATGTCCTGGGTCCCTGGAAGCACCCGTCTCCTGCAGGCCCGCGGGTGGGCGCATCTCCCCAGTGCGGGGCTTACCAAGCCCCTGGGTCTTGAGGGACGTCCCAATGGGGCGTGACACATCCTTTGTCAGGGCGTGTCCCCCACCCAGGTCCAGGGAACAGGCGCCATGGACTCCAGGGTCACTGCTAGCTTTGGAATCCAGGGAGCCGAGTTTCGGGTGGAGACCACAAAAGGGGCTGTTTCCAGAAGTGGCCCAGAAGGGACCAGGTGGAGGCTGCCCAGACCCTCCAGCATCACGCGCTCCCCAGTCACCACAGCACCATCTACCCAGACCCAGCCCATCTCCTCCCACCGCAGGGAGCAGGATGGGCAGGTTCCTGCCCCATGATCTGGATGTGGAAGCAGGGGCCCCGAAGGCTGGGTCTCAGGCCAGTCACAGGCTCAGGCTCAGGCTCAGCCTCTGCGTGCTGGGGCCACCCCTCCAGCCCCAGTTCTGACGGGGACACCACCCAGGCCCATCTCCCACAGCCACAGCTGCAAAGGCAATGCAGGGTCATGGGTTTGCAGGGTCCCACAATACGACCTCAGGTGTTTTTGAATAAATACTGCTCAAAGATGGAACCACAGCCCCGAGAATCCTTCCAAACGGATCCTCCCGCCTGTGGAGGCCACATGAGGAGCAGTGAGACTCGAAGCCACTGGGAAATGTACAGACAGGACGGCAGAACCTCGGGAAGGCCAACCCCGAATTCCCAAAACTTCTGAAACGAAAGGACCAAAGCCCACGGGCACTGTGTGACCCAAAATGACAGACAGTTGAAACCATGAGAGCAAGGTGGGCCGAAGGCGGAGAGGGCAGAGAGAACCCCACGCTCCTCCTCATCCCTGCTGGAGACTCAAGAGCTTTGTTTTTATTTTGACTTCGAGGAACGGACACATGTAAGCGTAAGGATCTTTCCTTCAGTTTAGCCAGAGTGGAATTAGAACAGGGATACCCATTATCACACAGCCAGGAGAGAAGCGAAGGCAGCTCAGAAGCAGCACGGGGGATCTGCCTCCAGAGCCCCAGGTCGTACCCCCACTTCCCACCTTCCTGCCTGGGAGAGGCCCAGTCCCCCAAGGGACCCTGCAGAGCCCATGGCCAGGACCCCAGTCCCTTCCCAGCATGCCCCAGGCCCAGCTGCCCCTTTCCAGGGTGATGGTGTCTGGGCTCCAGCGACCCCCAGCCAGGGCCAGGTCTGTGTCTGTGTGCAGCATGGATGTCCATCACCCTGGCCACGGGGCTACCCCAGACCAGCTCCTGGAATCCAGCAGTGCAGCTACCAAGGGCAGACCCAACCGGGGTTGACCCTCGGGTCCCAGAAGCCACTCTTGCCTCCTGCCCCTCCTTCCGGGCCCTAGATGGCTGTGGCCTGGATCAGGGTCAGGCAGAGGTGAGGCAGGAGCCACCCCACCTTCTGCTGGAGACACAGGCAAGGAGCTCTCAGGGCTGGGAAGAGTCCCCGTGTCCAGTGGGTCAGGGCTGGTGGGGGAGAGGCTGAAGAGTCCCCATGTCCAGTGGGTCAGGGCTGGCAGGGGGGACAGGGGACCCCATCAGCTTCAGGGCCTCAGATTCTGTCTAAACCCCTTCCCTTGAGGACATGGCTGCCAGCTGGAAAGTCAGCTGGGCCCTGAGATCAGAGCCCCCTTGAGCTGCCAGGGCCTCGCCCCCTGGCCTTGACACCCTATGATAGGCACCTGCCCTTGCCACAGCCTGACCAGTCACCTGCTGGCCTCATTCCCAGGATGCAGGATGATGGTCCCACCAGGCCCCTCCATGCAGACCCAGGCATGTGGCCACCAGGAGACTGGTGCCCAGCCACCCAGAGGTGCAAGCCAGCTGCTGGTGGACAGGGAGGGTCACCAACATGGGGAGCGGGGGCCTCACCTCTCCCCAGGAGGGTGGGTGCAGCAGCAAAGAGCACTTAGCAGCACTCAGCCAAGAAACAGCCTCTTATGGAGCCCCAGGTGGGGAGGCCCCTGCCTCAGAACAAGGACCCCGGAACCTCCAGAGGAGGTGGGCCCTGGGCTCTCCCGAAGGGCGGGGTCCACAGTCAAGCGGCCCCCGCACCCTGGGGTCCCAGGTTCACATCCCAGCTCCTCCACCTGCCTCCTCTGGGCCTTGGCACACAAACTCTGCAGAATGGGAAGGCAGCTCTCTCCTCTCTCAGATGGACGCTGGGCACGAGAGCCCATGGGAGGGGCAGGGGGCTGCCCACACAGCGCCCACGGCTCCCCTCACACACACAGTGTTCAAACACACAGGCACACTCACAGGCTTGCACATGCTCACAGGCACGTTCACCTGCACTTGCCCATGCCCATGCTGTACACACACGCTGTGTGCAGACACCCCTGCCCAGCACACACACCTACATGCTCCTCACACACTCACATATATGCACATGTCACAGATACTCGCACCCTCACACTCACATCCCACACGCTCCCATGCACACAAGCCCTCACATGCAGTCACACAGTCACATGCAGTCACACCCTCACATGCAGTCACACACTCACATGCAGTCACACACTCACATGCAATCACTCACATGCAGTCACACACTCACATGCACACACATGCAGTCACACCCTCACATGCAGTCACCCTCACATGCAATCACTCACATGCAGTCACACACTCACATGCACACACATGCAGTCACACGCTCACATGCAGTCACACACTCACATGCACACACATGCAGTCACACCCTCACATGCAGTCACACACTCACATGCAATCACTCACATGCAGTCACACACTCATGCACACACATGCAGTCACACGCTCACATGCAGTCACACACATGCACACACATGCAGTCACACCCTCACATGCGGTCACACCCTCACATGCAGTCACACCCTCACATGCAGTCACACACTCACATGCAGTCACACCCTCACATGCAGTCACACACTCACATGCAGTCACACACTCACATGCAGTCACACACTCACATGCACACACATGCAGTCACACACTCACATGCAGTCACACCCTCACAAGCAGTCACACACTCACATGCACACCCTCACATGCAGTCACACCCCACATGCAGTCACACACTCACATGTAGTCAGAGCAGTCACACCCACATGCAGTCATACACTCACACCTCACATGCATAGTCACACCCTCACATGCAGTCACACCCTCACATGTAGTCACACACAGCAGTCACACCCTCACATGCAGTCACACACTCACATGTAGTCACACAGAGCAGTCACACCCACATGCAGTCACACACTCACACCTCACATGCATAGTCACACCCTCACATGCAGTCACACACTCACATGTAGTCACACACAGCAGTCACACCCTCACATGCAGTCACACACTCACATGCAGTCACACACTCACATGTAGTCACACTCACATGCAGTCACACCCACATGCAGTCACACCCTCACATGCAGTCACACTCACATCCAGTCACACTCACATGCAGTCACACCCTCACAGTCACACACTCACATGCACACCCTCACATGCAGTCACGCCCCACATGCAGTCACACACTCACAGCAGTCACACCCTCACATGCAGTCACACACTCACATGTAGTCACACAGAGCAGTCACACCCACATGCAGTCATACACTCACACCTCACATGCATAGTCACACCCTCACATGCAGTCACACCCTCACATGCAGTCACACACTCACATGTAGTCACACACAGCAGTCACACCCTCACATGCAGTCACACACGTGCACACACAGCAGTCACACACTCACACCTCACATAGTCACACCCTCACATGCAGTCACACACTCACATGTAGTCACACACAGCAGTCACACCCTCACATGCAGTCACACACTCACATGCAGTCACACCCTCACATGCAGTCACACACATGCACACACAGCAGTCACACACTCACACCTCACATACATAGTCACACCCCCACATGCAGTCACACACTCACATGTAGTCACACTCACACCTCCCATGAACACTCAGTCACACTCTCATCTCACATATTCACACCATCACACCCTCCTATGCACAAAGGTACTCACAGAATCCCACCCTCCCATGCACACTCACCCACACAGCCCCCTGCCATGGCTCCTGGTGCAATGCTGTGTAGTTTATGTGCCCCCCAAACCCCCAACCAGATGATGCCCCCGACTTTGTAGAGCCCAGCTTCCCGCCTCCCCATTCCCCAGCCTAGCACAGAGGACCCACACACAGTAAGGCCAACTCACAGGGCCTCAGAAGCCTCCATGAGGCAGGCCATGGGGTCTCCCAGGCCTGTGGCACCCACCCAGGAGGGGGACTCAGCCAGGGAGGGGCTGACCCAGGGCCAGAGGCTGGAAGGTGCCGTGAGCCCCTCCCCACACTCAGCCTCTGCCTGGATGGCAGAATTCATGCAGAATTCATTCAGGGGTGAGTGACGTCTGGCCACCCCTGGGCCAGCATCGGGCAGGGGCTGGAGGAGACCAGCTGGACACCCTCCACCCAGGCTAGCCAGTCAGGTCCTACGGGACAGGCACGGGGTCCTGCACGAGGCACCCCCACAGTCTCTCTGCACCATCCTCATCAGGGAGCCGGCACCCACCCAGTCCACCGCCAGGCTCACACGTGGGCCCTGGGGCACTCATCTCACTACACACGGTTCGAGGGGACACACGCAGGGCTGCATGAGGCCGGGGCCCAGGCAGAGCCCCCCAGCTGCTCCCCCAGGCCGGCCTGTGCCCCCGAGTGCAACAGGGAGGCCCGGGCCGCTCCCCCACTGCCCGCCGGCACTGTGCCTAAATGACAGCGCTCTTCTCCTCTTGGAAGGAGGTGCGTGGGGATGGCCGGGCCAGCAGCAGCTCCTTCTCATGGATCAGGCTGTCCAGCAGGTCCTCCCGGCAGTAGCTGTGGTACACCTTCAGGAAGGCCAGCGTGGTGACGGCCAGCCAGGCCAGCCACGAGGCCCAGAGGCCAAACTGCACAGAGGGCAGGGTCGGAGTCAGGGGCCGGTGCCGGGAGGTCCGATGTCAGTGCACCTCCCCCCACCAGCCCCCAGGCTCGGCTCTGCAGGGAAAGGACAGGACTCAGAGGACGGAGGAGGCTGGGGACACAGGGCAGGGCCGGACAAGCCCAAGCTTCTGGGTTCCTTCCTGCAGCCAGCATCGTTTCCCAGCACCCGTGGACCTCCCGGAACCCACTCTGGTGCAGAAGCCCTGGGCACTCAGACCCACCCTCACTCCAGGCCGGGCAGAGGCCCTGGGGAGGGGCAGCGAGCAGCGGAGAGCACTTTCTCCTCCAGCAGCTCTAAGGAGGGCCCGTCAACAGCAGAGGCGCCTCCAACCACCTGAATAAATTGACCTTTAGGTGCCACTTCCAAACAGCTGAAGGAGAGACCATTTAATCAGAACCAGGCCACATTAAGCCGATTCTCATCTGAGCCTGTTTGTCATCAGACTGCGCTCACACCTTAATCTTATTGGCACAAATCAGGCCACTAAATGTGCATGAAGGTGTCTTTCACAGCCAGCTCATCTCGCAAAGAGCACCAGGCCCACCCACGTCCAGCACCCTTGTAGGGCTACCGGCCAGAGGAGCGTCCTCAGGCCAGCCACAGCCAAGCGGGGCCTTCAGAGGCCAGTCTGGGGTCCGGAATTGGACGTGAAGCTGGCCGGCCCTGACGGGTGCTGGCAGGAGCCAGGTGTCTGCTCTCAGCCACCCCCACCCGGCGCCCCTCATTGGCATCATCTCCGCCTGGGCACACATGCAGATTTCAAGGCGCAAACCCAATTCCAGGGTCCCCCCAGCCCTCACTGTAGTTAGCCACTGGCCCGGGCAGTGGGAGCAGTCAGGAAGGCTTCCTGCATGAGGTGAGGGAGAGCTGGGCCTCTGGGCTTTGGTGCTGGCACTGGGTGGGCCTGTCCAGATCAGTGCTGGAGGCCTAGGGACGTCCCCTAGCCAGGGGGAAGTGTCCAAGAAACGGGGAGGGGGATCCTGCCTGTGAATTTGGAAGATCTGCCATGCTGTCCTTGTATAAGTTGTGTCCCCTGTCCCCTAGGAGACTTGGCGGCCCCCACTATGGCCCCCACTCTGAGGGACCCTATTTGCTGAAATGCAGACATGGCGGCCCACTGCCCGGCCCCACGGCTAACTACCTCATCTGCACAGGAGCCTCCTCCTCCTCTGGATGGGGGGAGCTCAGCGAATGTCCAGCAGTAAATGCCCCTCCCGGCGTTGCAAGCCCCACTTCCCACCCGGAGCCCCTACCTGGGCAATGGCAAACTGATCATAGAAGGCAGAGTTGTCCACGCCCAGCTCCAAGTCAATGTCCTGGAGCTCTTCACAGCTGAAACAGCAAGACGCAGGGCGGAAGGTGACCGGCAGGCCAGCCAGTGTGGGGCATGGCCGAGCTGCTGGCCGGAGAGCCACAAGCTTTGCCCCGAAATGGTTGGGGGGAAACGGGGGGGGTCTCTGGGGACACCACGGGGGGGTCGGCCTCCAGGCCTCCTCCATGGACCAGGACAGCCTTCGGGGAAGGAAACCTGCAGGCCCCTCCCCATCCTGGCCTTGGACAGCTGGAAGATGCCAGCTAGGCCTCTGCTCTCCTGGACCCCCCGACTCCCATGCCCCACCCTCTGAGGGTCACAGGGTCTCAGAGGCAGGAGATGCAGGGCCGCCTCAGCCAGACAGAGATGGAGGTGTTGTCCCCACCAACGCTGCCCAGAGGCTCTGCCCCATCACGGGGGCATCTGCGGAGGCCGTGGGGTCAGAGGGTCCGGGAGTGAGCCGGGCTTGGCTCCCAGTAGGTGTCCTGCCCATGACATAAAACGTGAAGCCAGGGCAGATTGAGAGGAGCAGGACGCCAGAGGGAGGGAGGCCCAGCGGCCCCGCATGCCCTGGAGGGAATGAAGGGCTAGAAATGGCATCCGTGAGGGCAAGGGAACTTTGAGTGTGTACCAGGGGTTGCCCACGCTCTTGGGAAGCAGGTGGCCAGGCTGGCAGGTGGAGCGGGTACAGCAGGATGGGGCACAGGGCACAGTTCAGCGTGGGAGGCCCTGCAGGGCCACACACCCAGCTGCTGGCGCTTTCCTCCGGTCTGTGCCCCAGGGACCCGAGGGAGGTGCGGAACAGGCAGGCAGGGAGCCCCTCGGCTTTGCCGTCTCCTACTACAGACTCTGGGGTTTCGGGTCTGGGTTTGCTTAAAGGAAGAACATGGAGCTTCTGGAAGGGGTGGCTTGAGTGTTTCTGTCTTCCAGGGTTTTGGCCTGGGGTACAGGATGGTGCCCCTCAGGGCTGGGCATCCCGTTATAGGGGGCAGGGAGTCACTGTGCTCCACTCTGGGGCCCCCACAAGCCAGAGGTGCCCCGCTAAGAGCCCAGAGGGACCACCATGGCTCAAAGGCCTCCATCCCCAACCCGCCTGGGAGCTGGCCCTCACCCTACCAGAAGCTTCTTCTGCTCCCGTTTGTCACCATCCCTGTCCCCTCCACCTTCCAACCCCACACCATGGGGACCAGAGCCGGACCCTAATGCTCTCCCATGAAGCCAGCACAGGAAAGACGCCCCAGGTCTCCAGCTGTGCGGCTGCAGGACCTGGGGCCCCGCTGCAAGCAATCTGTCATCCGAGCCCTGGTGACAAGGACGGGACAGCCGGAGTCTATGACCCCCTGGAGCCATCCCCAGCCACATCCAGCCCCCGGGATCACCGCCTGTGGGTGAGGCGTGAAGCTGCTGGCTCCTAGAGTGGGATGGTATCTGATGCTGGGGCCAGGTCTCAGGGAAGGGGCTTCCCCGCTGCACACAGGCACGGGCATCGTGGGAACAGGGATGGCAGATGCAGGATGGGCTTCATGAGGGAAGACCACCGGAGCCGGGCAGGGTGCCAAGGGACCTTCCAGGAGGTGGGCAGAGGCTGGGTGGGTGGGACAGGCGCACCTGTGGGGCACGGTGCCCTTCTCGGTGATGGCGTCACACCACATGCTGAAGCCCACACTCACGATGGTGCTGGCGATGAAGACCAGGAAGACCACGAAGGCGCTGACCAGGAGGTTCAGGAAGGCAGAGAAGAAGGAGCTGCAGCCAGAGACAGGAGGGGCAGGGTCACTGGACGGCACCTCCCGGGCAACCCCCACCAGCAGTGCCCGCCGGACCCTCGGGATTCCTGGGTGGGGCCCTGTGGTTCCTCGAGGGGTTGCTCCCCATTCCTGCAGTCCCGTGGGCAGCTCTGAGTACCCACCCTGGACTGCGGGTCACACCATCGCACAGACCCAAGACCTGGAATCCTGGTCCCCACCATTTCATAGAAGAGGCTGCACCCACGGTGGGAATGCACGACACCCCTCCAACGCCGCCCGCCCCCAGTAGCCCGCAGCTCGGCTCCAGGTGCTTGTCCCCAAGTCCGCGTGCTGCCGTCTGCTGAGGGGTTAGAAAGTGGGGCCTCTGGGAGGAGAGGAGGTCCTGACAATGAAGTCTCATGAATGAAAAGAGTGCCCTCGCAGGAGAGACCCCGGAACTCCCTCACTCCTCCCAGCACACAAGCACACAGCAAGAGGAACAGTTCTCAGCAGGCACGGAACCGAGGTGCCTGGATCCCAGACATCCAGCCTCCACAGTGCAAGCCGTAAGTGCAGGTTGTCCGCCAGCCCAGCCTGAGGTGCCGAGCGCATCCATTCACCCACAGGCCATCCGCGCACGGCCTGGACCCCGGGAGGATTTGCTTGATGGGCCCATCTGACCAGCGCTGGAGCGCAGGGAGCACAGGAGGCAGGGCCCTGAGGAAGGAGCTGGCTTAGGGTGGGGCTACCCAGAGGCCTGAGGCCTCTGCCAGGGTGCACTCGGCCATGGCCTTCAGAGGGATGTTTCCTCTTCTGAGAATATGGGGCACGTGATCAGGGCACCCACCCGCCCCACCCTCCTGCCTGGCCTGCAAACGTCCACTTTCTCTGGATTGCTCCAGCAAGATTCGAAGTCCCTGGAACGAGCCTGGGGTGGGCTCGGCCTGGAATGCACCCTAAGGCTCCTGGGGGCAGGGAGAGGGACTGTCCCTCCAGTGGGACCCCGAGAGGGACTTCCTCACAGGACCACACCTGCTCAAGCAGCATGTCTGAGAAGCGGCTGCTCCGCGGCCTTCGGCTGTGAGCACATTGGATCTCAGGGATCATTTCATAAACAAGGTCTCCCTGGAATCTCAGCCAAGAAAACATCAACTCCACTGCCATCTGAACTCGGCAGCTGCTGATGAGGCAAAGTGGAGGCCAGTGAATGAATGAACGCTGTCTGTTCATTCATTCATTCCTTCATTCATTCATTCATTCATTCATCCAGCAGGCACTTTCTGAGCACCTGCTCACCCTGTGCTGGGCGCAGAGGGCAGAGTGGCACAAAAGATGAAGTCCTGGCCCCGGGGGTGTGGCAGCTAATGTGCTGAGGATAAACCCAGGCCACAGCACCCCACTCAGAGCAGGTGGTACCCCGCAACATGTCGTGCCTCCAAGAAACCTGGCCACTGGCTCCAGCCCCGGCCACACTGTTTTGATGACTGCTGGGCTAACAGCAGAACTGCCCCCCAGCAACGGGAGGGTTTGAACCACCCCAAGGAGTCCCAGACAAGGGGAGAGGACACAGGGACACTCTTAGAGCCAGGGGCTATGATCCCAGCAATCAGAGCAAAGAGGGCAGGACCTGCCAGACTCACAGGCATATTCGCGGGGAGTGACCAAGCCTCTGCCCAGGCCTCACAGCCAAAGATGGCTGGAGGGTGGGCACTCTGCGCCAGTAGACAACCCCCATCCAAAGCTCTCTAAAGATGGAAAGAGCCTCGGCAGAAGTTCGCCGGGATAGGCGTGGGGCTATTCTCGGTCCCTCCCCAGCCCCGTGTGATAGGAGTCTCAGAGCTGGCACACACGGGACTGGCGCCCTCCTCCCTGCCCAAGCCCGAATCATCCATGTGCCAGCGTCTCCCGCCTGCCCTGCAGAGTGCATCCCCCTCTCCGTTCTCTGTCTGGAGGCTGACAGTGTGGTCCATGGCAATGACCCCATGCCCTCTGGCTTCCGGCTGGGTTTGGGCAATGGGGTGGGAGGGCAGGGGAGCAAGGTGGGAGTTTGCCACCAGGTTCCTCTACTGAAAGTCATTGCTGCTCTCTAGGTGGCCTCTTCCATGTGACCCTCCCCTCCAGGTCCCATTAGCCAGGGCAGGGACAGCACTGCCTCCGCTGACGCCAGGAGCCCCACACCAGCCCTCCCTTGGTCACCCTTCCCCTGGTGAGCCATGTGCTGCTGCTGGGACCGTGAGGATGCAGTTCTGAACCCCAAAATCCATCTGGCTTGGGGGTGTGAATGAGGGATCCAGGGCCTACAGTCACAGAGTGGGGCACAGTAAGCCCACCCCACCTCTGCAGTCTCGGACCAGCTGCTCCTCCCCAGCCAAGGTGGCGAGGCACCACCAGCGTCGGCTCCACGGGCAGAGGCAAGGAGCTGCTCAGCACCAAACCCAGCCCGCTGGACAGTGCTGGAGTGGGGACATGGGACAGCCCCTTGCCAGGCTCCCACAGGGCACATCCACCCCTACACCTACCGGACAGCCCTACTGCAGTCCTCCCAGGGACCCGGTCCAGTCTGGCAGGGGCACCCTCTGGCACCTGGCATTCCTGGAGTTCCCTGGCAGCTGGTCACCGAGGCCTGCCTGGAGGCCCAGGCTGACCATAGTGCGGACAGTGAGGCTGGGCAGGGGCCCATGACCCAGCACCACCTCCCAGTGCCCTGTGGGAGGGTGGGCAGCACCCTCCACACCTATAGTATGGACCAAATTCTAGACAGGCACGTGCACGGCCTAAGCTTCCCTTCATGGCCAGACTCCCTAAGGGCAGGGTCTCCCCAGAAGCTCCGGTGTCTGCAAATACCTGCCCAGCTTACCTGAGACGCGGCAGAGGTCCGGGCCCAGGCAACCCGCTGCCCCTTCCCACCTCTGAGGATAGGCCACAACACAACCTCCAACAGACAGAAAATCCAATTATCTGGAGACTTGGGACATCCAGCCACATCCCTATTGAATGGGCACAATTTCACAGTCTTCTCCCCTGGGCAGAGCAAGGAGTTCCCCGCGAGACAGGGAAGGGCCACCAGGCTGGGGCGGCCACTGGCTGACAGCCTGTCTGCTCCTCATCCCTGTCTGGTCGGTTTCCAGGGAACCTGCCCAGGCTCTCCAGGTCATGGAAGAACTGGATGTGTCCAGAGCTCCCCCCTGGATCCAGCTCCCCAGAGGTCACAGGGTCACCTAGCCCCACCCTCGCCAAGGCCAGGACAGGACAGGAGCCCAGCATGCACAGGGTTAACCCCATCTCTCTTCACTGCTGCTCAGGGTGCCCTGCCAGGATGTGCCATCTCCATGGTGACCGCTGTCCTGGAAAGCCCAGCAATGTGAGGCTGGGCTGCTGGCACAGGCGGGCAGACAGGTCTAACGCAGCACCCCCTGGTCCGCCAACCCCAAACTGCTGCCAGCCTACGTGCTCAATGCTCCCTCGCAGCACAGCTGCCCAGGACATGGCTGCTCAGCAAACCCTTCTGCCCCGAAATGGCAACTCCCCTGAAACACATTCACTCATTCATTCACTCAGCAGCCAGGAGTGGAGCATGAAGATGACACTCCTCTGCAAAAAGCTACCCCTCCCAGACTAATTTTCACACTTCTGGGCACGAGCCCTCAGGGCCCACACGTAGCACGGCAGACACCCCCACATGAAGAAGAAGCTGGCACCTCAGACGCGGCGTCTGCTCCGCAAGCCCTGGACCTGCCATGCGCCCTCAAACAGACCTCAAGCAGGCTCTGCCTTTGCACTGGTGGGAGAGCAGCTGGTGGCCTCTGGAGGTGGAGTCCACTTGAGGATTAGAGGGTGTGCCGCCCTAACCAGGCCCTGCCCTCTAACGGCCAGAGTCTGATGGGGTCAGCCGTGTCCTCCGTGGGCTGGACGTCCAGTGGCCGTTGACGGCCCTGAGAGTCCCGTCCACCACACGAGCTCCCTGTAAAGGCCTGTCTCAGCCCTTGGCTGTCCTGAGTCCCCTTTGCTGACCCGGCACTTGTTCGCCTGGTCTATGCAGCTGGAGCAACAATTGAGTTGGAATTGGCTGCTCTATCACTGGACCCGCAGACCCCGTCTTCCCAGGGGTCCTGAACCTTCTGACATGACAAGTCTGAAGGGTGGACCTGCTGGCCACATAACTGAGTCTGCACAGGTCTCAGGGCCAGGTGAGTGACCACAAGGCAGCAGGCCTCAGGACCCAGGCATCTTTCTATCAGTCACTCAACAAACATTATCTGGTGACTCGTATGCAGCACCCCCTGTGCTCAGCCCTGAGGACACAGAGATGAAGAAGGTGCATGCCCGCCTCGGCTTCACCCGGCCGTGGGTCCCCTAGGGTGGGTACCCATGGCCTGAAATGGCTCTTGAGAATGTTAACCTAGGCCTGCCAGAAGAACTCAATGGAGCACACAAGCCATCTGCCAATGGACTGTGTGGTGCATGAGGTTGGGGACAGGTGGCCACATGGCCACATGACCTTAGCACTATTTCATGATGGTCAAGAAGGATGTGGGTGCCAGATGTCCCTGGAGAAGAGCAGGCTGGGCAGAAGTCAGTGGTAGGAGGACTGGTGAGCCCCTAAACTAAACCAGAGGAACTGACCCCCAAAGTACCCTGAGAGCAGGAGCTGCCCAGACCTGGCCTCTGGTGGGATGAAGGCCACGGTGAGTCGCCACAATGTAGTTCCCCCTCCCCGACAACCCCAACCCTCACCCTAACCCCAACCCTCACCCTCACCCTCACCCTAACCCTCACCCTCACCCTCACCCTCATCCCAACCCTCACCCTAACCCTCACCCTCACCCTCATCCCAACCCTCACCCTAACCCCAACCCTCACCCTAACCCCAACCCTCACCCTAACCCTCACCCTAACCCTCACCCTAACCCTCACCCTCACCCTCACCCTCACCCTCACCCTCACCCTAACCCTCACCCTCACCCTCACCCTCATCCCAACCCTCACCCTAACCCCAACCCTCACCCTAACCCTCACCCTCATCCCAACCCTCACCCTAACCCCAACCCTCACCCTAACCCCAACCCTCACCCGAACCCTCACCCTAACCCTCACCCTAACCCTCACCCCAACCCTCACCCTCACCCTAACCCTAACCCTCACCCTCACCCCCACCCTCACCCCCACGGGCCCTGAGCACACCAAGTCATCTAAGGCTTCCTAAATCCCATATGGGCTGGTCAGTGGGGCTGCTCCAGAGGCCCCACAGCCGGCCTGCATCCCAGCTGGTTCCGTCCCTTGGGAGGACAGAACACCTGGAAGAGTGCCGGGAAGGCCTGCAGACTCCCCGGGAATCCGTTTTCTGTCTTTGGAAGGAGATGGCGCTGGTGGTTTGCCAGGGCTGACAGATAGACGCCTTCCCTGAGACAGAAGAGGCAGAGCTGCGGTTACAGCATCCCCAGGTCTGCTGCCCTGTGTGTGCAAAACAGACCACGCCCTGTGCAAACTGGACTCCTGTCTCGCAAGCTCTGGGGCTCTTTCTCCCCTCTCCCTGTCCCCCAGCTTCTGGCAGAACCCCCTATGAGATGCGGCATCACTCTGACCACAGCTGGGTCCTACCTAGAGAGCCACCCTCTGTCAGCCCCAGCTGGACCATGAGCACCCTGAGAGACACCGAGGAGGCGGGGAAGATGTGCATGAGCAACGAACCAACTCGTGGCCCCACGTGGCTTGTACCCTCCATCCTCAGCCTTCCAGGCTAAAGGGACCTCAAGCCTTGGGAGGCTGACCCCACTCTCTGGCTGTCCCACCCGCTCTTCGCACCGAGTCTCATTCAGGGAGGCTTCCACCTGCCTGCCCTGCACACACAGCATGGACTGGGAAACACTCAGGTTTGGCACTGTGGGTGCAGATGACATCTCAAACTTCTCCTGGGGACACCAGCCCAGGAGTGGGCTGAGGGACGGAGGACAGCTGCAGATGGGCAGGACACCACCTTGCGCCCGGCCTGAGCCCACCCTGAGCAGGGCTCCAGCCACACACCCTGGAATTTGGGCCCATGGTCCCACAGCTCCTGGGGCCTCCCAGGCTGACAGTCAGCTTCCTATTGACCCCCATCTAGAACCTCAGTGTTGGGGTTGACTGGTGTCCCCGAAAGACACTCCCAAGTCCCGCCCTGGCGCCCGTGATTGTGACTTTAGTTGGAAATATCGTTTTTGCAGGTGTATTCAGCTCTGGCTCTCAGGCTGAGATCTCCCTGAGCCTAGAGCCGGCCCTGAATCCAGTGGCTGGTGTCCCTGTAAAAAGAGGAGAGGACAGAGAAGCAGAGAGAGATGCCCTGTGAGGACAGAGGCAGAGGGTGGTGGAACTGCTGCAGCAGCCCCAGGGCACTCCCACCCCCAGCCGCTGGGATTCTCAGCCCTCCCCCAGATTCACAGCCCCACCCGGCACAGCCCTGGCTCCCTCCCTTCTCCCTGGAGCCCCTCTGCTTCCTCTCTCTGGCCCCTCTCTCAGCCAAAGCCAAGCCATGGGAGTAGTAGTTGGGAGGGCCACCCTCTGAGCCCTTCTAACCTCCCACCAGCCTGCAGGGAGTGGGATGGGGGTGGGGCCAAGTTTGGGAGGGGCCTGGGATTCATGAGTGCCCTCCCTGAACCCTGCCAGGATCTCGGGCTGCTCCTGGGCACAGTAGGCCTCAGCCAGGGGAGTGGGAGGGCCCATGGAGGGAGGGAGTGGGTGGGCTCACAGAGTGCACCCGGAGAGGAAGTGAGTGGGCCTGCAAAGGGCCCCTACGAGGGAGTGGGTGGGCCCAAAGAGGGCCTCCAGGGTGCCACCGATTGAGGGTGCCACCGCACCCCAGGTGAACCAGGTTGTGTGGGCTCCAGCATCCTGCGGGAGCAGGAGAGACTAAGAGGAAAATGGAGGCCCAAGGCGCTGAGCCCACAAAGGAACACCCCTCGCCCTGCCGTCCCTCTCACATTCCCCAGCCCAGGCCTGAGCTCCAGAGGCAGGCCTGGGGTCTCCCTGCCAAACAGCCATCTGCCGTCCTTTTCCCGGGGAGCGGGGGATGGTGCCGGGTGGAGCTCCGTAGTACGCCTGGTCACTGGGGCCGGGAGAGCCCAGCGCAGGCCCTAGACCAGGCGGAGAGCTGTCCCCGGTCCTGGCGAGTGTGGTCTGGCTGAGCCCGCCCGGGAAGGTCCTGGCCTGCTCGGTGATGACGGTGCAAGATCTCCAGCCTAGGGGGCAGAAGCCCGGAAGGGGGAGGCGACGCGCACCTGGGGAAGGGAGGCGCGCAGGACCGGTGGTCGTCTCGGTCCCGGATGTGTGTGTAGACAAAGGGCGTCTGGGTGGAGGGGGCGAGGGCCGAGTGCTGACGTTTGCGGGCCTCGGAGCTGCTGCAGAGACGGAGGGACTCGCGCGCCTCCGTGGGGAGGCGGGCCTGGGGGCGCCGTGGGCACGGACGGGGCGCCGCGCCGGGAGAGGCCCCCACTTACCCCTCGTGTCCCTTGCAGAGGAAGAAGAGCGTGCGCCAGGCGTGCGCGGCGGCCAGGAGCAGCGACAGGAGGCTGGCGAGCAGGCTGAAGCGGCAGGCGGCCGGCGGGCCCCACTCCTGCACCGTGAAGCGCTCGCGCTCCTGCACCGTGAGGTTGGCGCTCAGCCACATGCCCTCGGTGAAGAGCAGGCAGCGGCCGCGGAAGTCGTGGCCGTTCTCGGACAGCGGCACCACCACCACGAAGCTGAACAGGAAGGCCAGGAAGTAGCAGGCGCACTGCGCGAAAAGGAAATTGTTGAGCGCCATGGCCGGCCCGGGCCGGAGCGGCGGCGGCGGCGGCGGGGAGGCCGCGGGAGGCTGCGCCGGGCGGGGAGGCAGCGGGGCCGAAGGGGCGCGCGCGGCTGGGGTGCGGGCCGGGGCTGCGCGGGAGGCTGCGCAGTGGCGGCGCCGGCGGGTCCCGCGCGCGCCTCCCAGGACGCGTGCGCACCGGCCGAGCTCGGGCGGCGCCTGCGGGCAGCACCGCGGACAGCTCCCGGCGCGCGCGGGCGGGGAACGCGGGGTCCCCGGGCTGGCCCCGACCAAGCCGGAGAGGCGCGGCCTGCTGGGGGCGTGGGAATTTTACCAGGTCGGCCTGGGGAGACAGGCCCTGTGCCGCTAAGGACTGCGGGGAGCCACCCGTGCGGGCCTCAAACAGGCCGACTCTGGGTCCCCAGTTCCCCATCAGCTCGAAAGAAGGGAGGCCAGGAGACAGACGGCGGGGCGGGGGGTGTTGGGGGACGCCCCCACGATGCCCATAAAGTGAGGTGTAGGAGTGCGGTTTGCAGTCCAGCCTGAAGTAGTTCCTCTGCGGGGGTCCGGGAAGGCGACGTATGGGGGGAGGGGGCAGATCGCGGAGGAGTCGGGGTACGAGGGACTGGGACAGGGGTCATCCTCGGAGAGATGGGGAGGGGGAGGCCTGGTGTGGGCAGGAGGGGGTGGGCCGGGAGCTTCTGCAGCGGCAGCCCTCCCCGGGACGCGTGTTACACCGCCTGGCGGGGCCAGGACCCTGGAGCTGCATTTGTAAGATAAATAATGGGGGCCCAAGCGCCCATTATGACATCTTTGCCGTGGTGGAAGCCGCTGAGGCGTTAATTAATTTAATTAATGCCTTTTCTAGCTTCTTTTAAGACTAAGTCGCCTTTAGTTCAATTCCCAGAGTGAGGAAGCCCTAACATTGCTCCTCCTGGTTTAAAATTACATCAGCATTTTTGTTGCAGGCACTAAAAAATCTTTTTGTTTTATTGACTGAGTAATATATGCTCATTTCTTAAGTCAAGTAATAGAGATACGTGTACAATAAGGCAGAAAGCCTTCTCCCCATCCCCATCCCTACCCCATCACACTACCGGGGGTGACCACTTTACCAGCCTGCCATCTATTTTTCTAGACATTTTGCTGAGCACATAAGCACACTCACACAATTAACAAAAATGCTTCATGCCAGACATAGTTTTTTGAAAGCTGATTCTCTTTTTCAGCAAAATGTCAAGGACATTATTCCCTGCCTACATAGGCAGCTGTTTTGTTCTTTTTAATGACTGCACAGCACCCCATAATCCTGAGGACCCCAGTTTGTGTAACTGTTCCTCTTAAGGTGGATGTTTCCCATCTCCCGTTTTCCTGTCTCAAATACTGTCCCGTGAACAACCTGGGCGTGTATGTTTGTGTGCTTGTGCAGGCATTTTTATAAGAGAAGTTCTGAGAAGAGGAATTGTCGGGTCGTGGGGTGTGCACGTTTAAAATGTTGACAGAGATTGCCAAACTGGCTTTAAAGATGTTGTTCGAATTTCCCCTCACGTCTGAGTTGTAGCCCCCGACCCTCCACAGCTGGGAAACAGCAGTTGTGTTCAAACCCTACCAGTCTTCACAGAATGTGCTCATTGCTGTGGGGACTCAGACTCGCTTAGCACCATGAGGCTGAGCATATCTTCTTCGGCCTGTTACCCTCTGCGACTTTTCTTCTGTGGATTGCAATTCATTCTGCAATGACTTTAAAGCCAACCCTTGAAGGACAGCCACGCTTCTCTTGGAGAATCCACTCTTGGAGTGGTAAAAACTTCTCCCCAAAGGGAGCCCACTCAGGAAATTCACCCCTACCCCTAACTTGGGCAAGAGTGGAAATCCCATGCCCTCATTACCCAGCAGTTTGACCAATTCGAACACAGCTGAGCTGTTACACTTCCAGGCTTCGGCCAAAACGGAGGAGACCAGGACCACTGACAGGGAAGCCCCACCCTGGAAAGCGCAGATTCCGTCGAAAAGATTCTTACACATGCGCCACTTTAAAAGGCACGAGCCTCTGGCGTTTCTGTGATTTGTTCCAGTCACCCTTCCAAAATCAAAGACTCCTCTTGTTAGTATTAGTCGGGGTTCTCTAGAGAAACAGAACCAATAAGATGGAGAAAGAGAGAAAGAAAGAGATTTTAAGGAATTGGCTCACATGATTTTTGAGACTGGTAAGTCTCAAATCTGCAGGGTGGGCTGGCAGGCTGGAGACCAGGAAAAGCCAGCAGAATTCCCTCTTCCTGGTGAGGTCACTGCTATAGTTTGAATGTTCATTCCCTCTGAAATTCATGTAGAAACTAGCAATGTGGCAGTGAGGCCTTTCAGAGGTGATCTGGTCCTGTCCTTATGAATAGATGAATCTCTTCTGGATTAATGGGTTGTCACAGGACCGGGACTGCTGACTTCATGAGAAGAGGAAGAGCAGTGAGCTGGCACACTCAGCCTCACCACCATGGACGCCTGCACCACCCTGGGACTCCACAGCAAGAAGACCCTCGCCAGATGCGGCACCCCGACCTGGGACTTCCCAGCGTCCAGAAACCGTGAGAAGTAAACGTCTTTCCTTTGTGCATTACCCAGGCTCTGCTAATCTGTAGCAGAAAACCAACTAAGACACCCACCCACGTAGTGCAGGACAATCTGCTCTACTCAAAGTTCACCATTTAAACGTCGATCTTGTCCAAAAGTGCCCCCACAGAAATATCCAGATTAATGTTTGACCACATATCTGGCACCTTGGCTCAGCCAAGTTAACACATAAAATGAACCATTTCTTTAGTGAAGTGGTTCCAACCTATAGAAAATGTGGAAAATTCCAAAACTCACTTTTAAACACCAACGTTGCATTATAGCAAAACCTTATCAAAATGGTAGGGGAAAGAAAGAAGTAGGAAATTTCATATACAAATATGGATACAGAACACTTTCCAATAAAATATTGGCAAACTGAACACAGCCCAATGGATTGAGAAAGTAAGAAAACATGAATGAGTAGACTTCATCCTACAAATGAGAGAAGAGCTCTGCTTTTGGAAAGCTGTTGGTCATATGCTCCATCAACCAGCAAAGCCGGCAAGCCTGCCTTTTTGTGTCAAGGAACGAGGAATGTCAAAATGCATCTCCTATCATCGAATATCCGCTCCTGATTTAAAAAGAAGAAAAGAAAACCCCTGTGTAAAATAAAACTACCTAAATGTGGCCAAGACGACATTATTATTTGCACTCGTTCAAACCGGGAGCACACAGGAATGTTCACTGTTGCAACTATTATGGACCATTTTGGGGGCAATTCTATCTAATAAACCAAAACAAGAAAATAAAATAAGCAGCATGACTACAGAAACAAAGAGGCAAAATTATCTTTATTGGAGGATAATATGATTCTATACCTAGAAATCTTTCCCAAGACACTCTACAAAAATATTAGAATTTGGCCGGGCGTGGTGGCTCACGCCTGTAATCCCAGCACTTTGGGAGGCCAAGGTGGGTGAATCACAAGGTCAAGAGATCGAGACCATCCTGGTCAACATGATGAAACCCTGTCTCTACTAAAAATACAAAAAATTAGCTGGGCACGGTGGCGCGTGCCTGGAATCCCAGTTACTCAGGAGGCTGAGGCAGGAGAATTGCCTGAACCCAGGAGGCGGAGGTTTCAGTGAGCCGAGATAGTGCCATTGCACCCCAGCCTGGGTAACAAGAGCTAAACTCCGTTTAAAAAAAAAAAATAGAATTTGCAAGTTAATTTTGTTCTGGGTCTGAAAACTGGCTTAGATCCAGGTGTCATGGCGTCTCAGGTCAGGCTTCCCTGGGGATGGCTCCCTTCATGTCCTATGATGGCACCAAGTGCACCAGAGCGTGCGGTGCCTCTGCCTTTCCTCCAGGGAGGCCCAGTCCTGTGTCCCTCGCCTCCGCTTTCTGTTGGTCAGGACACGCTGGCTCCATCTTTGATCTTGACACTCGTTGGGATACCTGAGCTCACCTTGCTCCCAGGTGGCCCCACCTGGTCTGTCTTATCCAGGATCCCACCAGCGGCAACTCAGGATGCCCAGTCCTGTGACCCAGCTCCAACCGTCATCCCGTTGAGCTCCTCTGTGATTCTGCCCCTCGCCAGCGCACCTTTCTCGCTCTGGTAAATGGGGACTCCTCTGCAGCCGCCCTGCAGCCACCGGGGAATGCGGCCTCGGTGAGAGCTGCAGCTTTGCAGCTAGTCCGCTGGAGCACGCCCCTGTCTCTGGGCTCCGCTGGAGCGCGCCCCTGTCTGGGTCCTCGCACCCTCTCCCGCCATCTGTCTTGGCCATTCTATTTTACAGGAATGGGCAGCCGCCTTCCAAGCTTCTCAGAGCCACTTAGATGTGTTTTCTGTCACTGCTGCCACAAATTACTACAACCACACAAATGAATTATCGGACAGTTCTGGAGCCAAAACGTCCTGGGGTCAGGAGTCTAAAATCAAGGCATCTGGAGGGCTTGGTTCTCTCTGGAGGCTTCAGGGGAGAATCTGTTTCCCGGCCTTTTCAGCTTCTAGAGGTTTCCGCCTTCCTTGACTATTGGCCTCCTTGCTCTGTCTTCAAAGCCAGCAACACCAGTCCAGCCCCTCCCATGCTCCTCCCCTCTGGTCTCTGCAGCTGGAAAAGGCTCTCCATGCTGACATTAGACCTCTCTGGATAATCCAGGATGCCCCCAACCTGAGGTCCTCAGCCTTAATCACATGCACAGAGTCCCTTTTTCCGTAAAAGGGTAACATACTCGTGGGTTGCGGGAATTGGGATGTGGACATCTTTGGGGCATTATTCCGTCTGCCCCACCATCCCAGGAACACGTTAGCCCTGCCTCCTGGGGCTCTTGTCTGGCATTAAACCCTTGTATTCCAGGACACCGCTGCCTTTTGGATAAATTCTTTCTTACCCAACATTTGTGTTCTACTCCCCTGTCCCCTCCAGCACCCTCTGGTCCCGGCACACACATACCCCTGCCTCCTGCCGGCACATGGTCTTCAGACCCTGTGAGCCGTCGGGGCGCGCTGGCCTCCTCTCTCAGCAGAGATCATCCTTTGACATGGGTCATCAGCAGGAGAGACGGAGCAGCCCCTTCCTCGAGGGCCATGCATCCCCTTTGCAAAGCAAACTTGTGGATCATCTTCCAACAAGGTGTTATGGGTTGAAGTATCAACCCTCAGCCCGTCAGAATGTGGTCTTATTTGGAGATGGGGTCTTT